CACTCTCTCACAAATATCATGCACGGCATCACCCTTCGTGCTTTAACACTCTCTCACCAATACAATGCGCGGCATCACCCTTCGTGTTTTAACACTCCCTCGCCCAAACAATAATCACAAGCAATAAGGGCAAGGAAATAAATAAAATCACAATAAAATCCCGGCAAGGGAACAATAGTACAACAATCATATCCCGACAAGGGAAACAATATCAAAAGCAACAACATCCCGGCAAGGGAGACAACATTAAAAGAAACAATATCCCGGCAAGGGAGACAATATCATAATCCTCTTCTCTTTTTCACATTTACTTCACAACTCAATTCACAACTTGAGCCAATGCTCTATAATGTCCAGTTGCCAACAATAATTCCACAAATCATTTCACAACTTGAGCCAATGCTCTTCATTGTTCAATTACCAAAATTACTTCCACAAGCCTTGTTCAACAATAGAAATATCACATAAGGCATGAACAATACAAAACGGAGTCATATTAATCATAGCATTAGACTCACGGGCATGCTTGACACCAACGTATAGATACTCGTCACCATGCCTATACGTCGTACTCAACAATTAACACATAGCAAATAGGACACAACTCCTAATCCCTCAAGCTAATGCTAGACCAAACACTTACCTCGATGCCACAAACACAATTCAAGCCTCAACTACCGCTTTACCTCTTGATTCCACCACCAATTCGCTTGTATCTAGCCATAAGTTACTTAACTATATCAATAAATACTAAATGAATCAATTCTAATGCATGAAAATAGGTTTTCTAAAGTTTTTCCCAAAAGTCAAAAATCGAATTCGGGCCCACATGGTCAAAACCCGAGGTTCGAACCAAAACCCGATTACCCATTCACCCTCGAACTCAAATATATAATTTGTTTTGAAATCGGACCTCAAATCGAGGTCCAAATGCCCAAAATTCGAAAATCCTAAGTTCTACCCAAAACACCCAATTTCCCCCATGAAAACCCTTGATTTTGAGTTGAAATCATGTAAAAAGATGTTAAAGATTAAAGAAAATGAGTTAGAAATGACTTACAATCGATTTGGAAGAGTAACTGTCTTTGAAAAATCGCCCAAAGGTGTTTAGGTTTTGAAAAGGTTTTTAAAATGGTTGAAAATGCGTCTAACTTATGATTTAGCAGGTTGCAGATGTCGCAATTGCGACCAGGGTTCACAATTGCGAACCCCTTCCAAACCTGCTGCCTTCGCAAATGCGAAAAATATGTCGTATTTGCGACACTGAAGGAAATCCAGTCCCCTTTGCGAGGGACCAAGGCAGCCCAGGTCATCTTTCGCATTTGCGATCAATCTTCGCATTTGCGATGCGAAGCCTGCAGAACTGCAACACACCAGCAATTTCCTAAGTCCAAATCTCACTCCGTGGCCTATACAAAACTCACCCGAGCCCTTGAGGCTCCAAACCAAACATGCACGCAAGTTGAAAAACATCATACGGACTTGCCCGTGCGATCAAATCACCAAAATAACATCAATAACTATGAAGTTAGCATCAAAATCAAAGAAAAATCTCATGAACTCTTAAGTTCAAATTTTAACAACCGAAGCTCCGATTCACGTCATTTCAAGTCCGTTTCTTACCAAATTTTACGGGCTCAACTTAAATACCATATAAGACCTGTACCAGCCTCCAGATCCAAAATACGGGTCCGATACCACGAATACAATTACATTCAAATTTCCAAAAACTCTAAGAATTTCAGTTAAACAATTTTCTTCAAAAATTTATTTCTCGGTCTTGGGACCTCGGAATTCAATTTCGAGCATACGCCCAAGTCCCATATTTTCCTACGGACCCTCCGGGATCGTCAAATCACGGGTCCGGGTCCGTTTACCCAAAATGTTGACCGAAGTCAACCTAAATTTATTTTAAAAGCAAAACTCAACATTTTTCACAGATTTTCACATAATGGCTTTTCGGATACACGCCCGGACTATGCACGCAAATCGAGGTGAGACAAAAGGAGGTTTTAAGGCCTCAGAACACAGGATTTATTTCCAAAACAAGTGTCCACCTCTAAAACAACCGTTCGTCCTCGAACGGAAATAAGAAGGAAGTACCTGAGTCGGAGAAAAGATGGGGATATCGGCTCTGCATATCGGACTCGGACTCCCAGGTCGATGCCTCAGCAGGCTGACCTCTCCACTGAGCACGAACAGAAGAGAAACTCTTCGATCTCAACTAACGAACCTGCCGGTCTAGAATAGCTACCGGCTCCTCCTCATAGGACAAGTCCTTGTCCAACTGGACAGTGCTGAAATCTAACACGTGGGATGGATCGTCGTGATATTTCCGAAGCATGGACACATGAAACACTGGGTGCACGGATGATAAACTCGGCGCCAATGCAACTCTGTAAGCCACCTGTTCCACTCGATCAAGAATCTCAAACGGGCCAATGAACCTAGGGCTAAGCTTGCCCCTCTTCCCAAATCTCATCACACCCTTCATAGGCGACACCCAAAGCAACACCCGCTCGCCGACCATGAATGCCACATCGCGAACCTTACGATCAGCATAACTCTTTTGCCTGGACTGAGCTGTACGAAGCCTATCCTGAATAATCCTGACCTTGTCCAAGGCATCCTGTACTAGATCCGTACCCAACAACCGAGCCTCTCCCGGCTCAAACCAACCAACCGGCGACCGACACCGCCTACCATATAAAGCCTCATAGGGAGCCATCTGAATGCTCGACTGGTAACTGTTGTTGTAGGCAAACTCCGCTAAAGGCAAAAACTGATCCCACGAGCCTCCAAAGTCAATAACACAAGCCCGGAGCATGTCCTCCAAAATCTGAATAGTACGCTCGGACTGCCCGTCCGTCTGAGGTTGAAATGCTGTGCTCAACTCAACCAGTGTGCCAAACTCACGCTAAACTGCCCTCTAGAAATGCGAGGTAAACTGCGTACTTCGGTCCGAAATGATAGACACGGTCACACCATGAAGGCGAACAATCTCCCGGATATAGATCTCAGCTAACCTCTCAGAAGAATAGGAGACTGCCACAGGAATGAAATGCGCTGACTTGGTCAACCTATCAACAATAACCCACACTGCATCGAACTTCCTCTGAGTCCGTGGGAGTCCAACAACAAAGTCCATAGTGATACGCTCCCACTTCCACTCGGGAAGCTCAATCCTCTGAAACAAACCACCAGGTCTCTAATGCTCGTACTTTACCTGCTGACAATGCAAACACCGAGCCACATACGCAACAATATCCTTCTTCATCCTCCTCTACCAATAATACTGCAGCAAATCCTGATACATCTTGGCGGCGCCCGGATGAATAGAGTACCGGGAACTATGAGCCTCCTCTAAAATCAACTCTCGAAGTCCATACACATTAGGCACACAAACTCGACCCTGCAGCCTCAAAACTCCATCATCTCCAACTGTAACCTGTTTGGCACCTCCGTGCTGCACTGTGTCCCTAAGAACACACAAATGGGGATCATCATAATGCCGATCTCGAATACGCTCCAATAATGAAGAACGAGCAACTGTGCGAGCTAACATACGACTGGGCTCAGAGACATCCAACCTCACGAACTGATTGGCCAAAGCCTGAACATCCAAAGCTAGCGGCCTCTCACCGACCGGAATATACGCAAGATTGCCCATACTGGCTGACTTCCTACTCAAAGCATCGGCCACCACATTGGCCTTTCCCGGATGGTATAAGATGGTGATATCATAGTCATTTAGTAGCTCCAACCACCTTCTCTGCCTCAAATTTAGATCCTTCTGCTTGAACAAGTACTGTAGACTCTTGTGATCCGTGAGCACCTCACATGACACGCCATATAAATAGTGCCTCCAAATCTTCAGCGCATGAACAATGGCCGCTAACTCCAAATCATGAACTGGATAATTCTTCTCATGAATCTTCAACTGTCGCGAAGCATAAGCAATGACCTTGCCATCCTGCATCAACACCGCACCAAGTCCAATACGAGATGCATCACAATAAACTGTATATGGCCCTGAACCTGTAGGCAAACCAACACTGGCGCCGTAGTCAAAGCTGTCTTGAGCTTCTGAAAGCTCGCCTCACATTCGTCCGACCACCTGAACTGGGCACCCTTCTGGGTCAACCTGGTCATCGGGGTTGCAATAGATGAAAACCCCTCCACAAACCGACGGTAATAGCCCACCAAACCCAAAAAACTCCGAATCTCTGTAGCTTATGTGGGTCGAGGCCAGTTCTTGACTGCCTCTATCTTCTTTGGATCCACCTGAATACCCTCTACTGATACAACGTGACCCAAGAATGCAACTGAACTTAACCAAAACTCACACTTCGAAAACTTGGCATACAACTGACTATCCCTCAGAGTCTGAAGAACGACTCGAAGATGCTGCTCGTGCTCCTCCCGGCTGCGGGAATAGATCAAAATATCGTCAATGAAGACAATCACGAAGGAATCCAAATAAGGCCTGAACACTCGGTTCATAAAATCCATGAAAGTTGTTGGGGCATTTGTCAATCCGAATGATATCACCAAGAACTCATAATGCCCGTATCGAGTGCGGAAAGCTGTCTTAGGGACATCAGATGCCCTACTCCTCAACTGATGGTAGCCCGATCTCAAGTCGATCTTAGAAAACACTTGGGCACCCTGAAGCTGGTCAAACAAATCATCAATCTTGTTAAAATCCAGAATCACATAGAGATCCTGCCCATAGGTTTCTGCAACTTCAACTTATTAAAATCTGCAACTGTCTTTGTTAATCAGGTTTTGTGTGCTTTTGTTGCTGCGGAGGCCAACTTGAGCCCTTATTTGTTTATAAGTGAAAGTTTAAAGTGTTTTGTATGTCGCCTAGTATTTTTTATTTTTTGAGCAGCCTAAGTTAAGGTCTAGAACCACCCTGAGATAGAGGTCCAAATGCCTTCTGGACTATAGGCATGGGACGGGTAGTGCACGCGTAGGGCACGACTTAGAATTGACTNCCAGCATGAGAAAATGCAGATTTCAACATTTTAGAAGAGGCCTGGTGAAACCTAAATATTCATTCAACGTAAGGATACCACGTCGATATAGTGAAACTGCTTAAAGTAGAAAAACGAGAAGATGCTTACGGATGGCTTATGTGGAACCAATCATCGTCCCTGCAACAAAAAGATGAATATGCTGGATCAAGAAACTAATTTCTCAAGCAACCAACATGAATTTGAGAACCTAACAACTTGTGTAGATGCTCACTTTTCTTGATAGGCAGACTTATATTCTAAGTGAAAAGGCCTAGGAGGATGGCCTCTACCAAAAGAATCCCTGCCTCCAGACGAGGCACCACTGAATCTGCCTGAATGACGAGGCCTCTTGTCAGACCCCTGACCACCTCCCTGTGACAAAACTATCTCAACCCTCCTAGCCACATTGGCCACATCCTAAAAGGAAATCTCTCTCCCCGTTTCCTTGTCCATTTGAAGTAGAATAGGCTGAATGAGTCCCTCAATGAACCTTGTCACTCTCACTCTCTCGATGGGAAGTATAAGAAGAGCATGACGGGCCAAATCAATAAACCTGATCTCGTACTGAGTAACGGTCATAGAACCCTGCTGGAGACACTCAAACTGCCTCCGATAGTTCTCCCTCTAAGTGATAGGAAGAAACTTCTCCAGAAATAGCTGAGAAAACTGATTCCAAGTCAAAGCTGGTGACCCAACTGGTCTAGCCAAACAATAATCTCTCCACCAAGTCTTGGCGGATCCAGATAAGCGAAAAGCAACAAAGTCGATCCCATTGGTCTCCAATATCCCATTGTTCCTGAGAACCTCATGACAGTTGTCTAAATAATCCTGGGGATCCTCAGAAGATGCACCGCAGAAAGTGGTAGTGAAGAGCTTGGTGAACCTGTCCAATCTCCACAAGGCATCAGCAGACATAGATGCTCCATCACCGGTCTGAGCTACCACACTTGGCTGAACTGCTCCAACTGGCTGAGCTGCTGGAGTCTGAAACTAGGGAGCCATCTGCTCCGGAGTGCGGGTAGCAGGAGTCTGGGCTCCTCCTCCAGCCTGAGAGACGGTTGGTGTTACAGGAAGCAAGCCTTCCCAGGTGACACTCTCCATACGGCCCACTGGACGGACCAGAGCATCCTGGAGAACTGGGTAGCAATGAACCCCTCTAGGACCTGAGCTGGTCCTGCTGGAACTGTCTGGGCCGGAAACTCCTTGTCAAACTCAACCTGAGGCTCCGCCACTGGGGCTGCTGCTCTAGGTTGAGCTCTCCCCCTACCTCGGCCCCTATCACGACCTCCTCGCCTTCTGCCCCTCGTAGATGCTACCGCTGGGGGCTCGGGCTGATGATCAGTGGATGAAGAAGCGCGTGTTCTCGCCATCTGCAAAAGAACAGAGTAGAAATTCAATTAGCATTGAGAAACCAAACTGCACGATAGGAAAGAATAGATGTGAAGTTTTTCCTAACTCTGTAGCCTCTGGGGGATAAATACAGACGTCTCCGTACCGATTCCTCAGACTCTACTAAGCTTGTCCGTGAATTGTGATACCTAAGTAACCTAGGGGTCTGATACCAACTTGTCACGACCCGGATTTCCCACCCTCGGGAGTCGTGATGGTGCCTACTAGTAAAAGCTAGGCAAGCCAACCATTTGTATTATTTACCTTTTTCCCATTTTGATCCTTTAACAAATAAGAACCAACGTCATATAAACAGCAGAATTTAATAAGCGGAAGACTGAAATGTAATATTTTAATAATGATACCAATACCAATCCATAACATAAACTACCCAGAACTGGTGTCACAATTTCACAGACTCTCTAGGAATACTACAAATAAAGGTCTGAAAGATTAATACAACACTGTCTCTTGAATACATGAAAGAAACAGAATGAAAAGATAAAAGGATACGCCAAGGTCCGCGGACGCCTGCAGGACTACCTCGGGTCGCCTGATGAACTGGAAGCAGCAACCTCGCTGCGGTCCGAAAGCTACAACACTGAGATATGCACAAAAGAGTGCAGAGTGTAGTATCAGCACAACCGATGCCTAGCCTAACCTCAGCGAGGTAGTGACGAGGCAAGCACCAGACTACCAAATAAACATGTGCAGTTAAATCATGTACAGGGAAAAATAAAGGCAAACTTTACAATTATAGATAGGAAGGGGGAAACATGCTACGGGGAACAACAAGTAACAACAGAAACCAATAGTTAAATGTAAAGAACACCATAACTCAATTATCAGTAAAAATCAGAAAATCAAAGACAAGTGCACGGCATCACCCTTCGTGCTTTTACTCTCGTCCTCACCATAAAATCGATATAAATGGCACGACATCAACCTCCGTGCTTTTACCTCACATAATCATGACACGGAATGATCCTTCGTGTACTATCACTCATATAAAGGCACGGAATGGTACATCATGCGGCACGACATCACCCTCATGCATTAACACTCTCTCACAAATATCATGCACGGCATCACCCTTTGTGCTTTAACACTCTCTCGCCAATACAATGCACGACATCACCCTTCGTGCTTTAACACTCTCCCTCACCCAAACAACAATCACAAGCAATAAGTGCAAGGAAATAAATAAAATCACAATAAAATCCCGGCAAGGGAACAATAGTACAACAATCATATCCCGGCAAGGGAAACAATATCAAAAGCAACAACATCCCGGCAAGGGAGACAACATTAAAAGCAACAACATCCTGGTAAGGGAGACAATATCATAATCCTCTTCTCTTTTTCACATTTACTTCACAACTCAATTCACAACTTGAGCCAATGCTCTATAATGTCCAATTGCCAACAATAATTCCACAAATTATTTCACAACTTGAGCCAACACTCTTCATTGTTCAATTACCAAAATTACTTCCACAAGCCTTGTTCTACAATAGATATATCACATAAGGCATGAACAATACAAAATAGAGTCATATTAATCATAGCATAAGACTTACGGGCATGCTTGCACCAACGTATAGATACTCGTCACCATGCCTATACGTCGTACTCAACAATTAACACATAGCAAATAGGACACAACTCCTAATCCCTCAAGCTAAGGTTAGACCAAACACTTACCTCAATGCCACGAACACAATTCAAGCATCAACTACCGCTTTACCTCTTGATTTCACCACCAATTCGCTTGTATCTAGCCGCAAGTTACTTAACTATATCAATAAATGCTAAATGAATCAATTCTAATGCATGAAAATAGGTTTTCTAAAGTTTTTCCCAAAAGTCAAAAATCGACCCCGGGCCCACATGGTCAAAACCCGAGGTTCAAACCAAAACCCGATTACCCATTCACCCACGAACTCAAATATATAATTTGTTTTGAATTCGGACCTCAAATCGAGGTCCAAATCCCCAAAATTCGAAAATCCTAAGTTCTACCCAAAACACCCAATTTCCCCCATGAAAACCCTTGATTTTGAGTCGAAATCATGTAAAAAGATGTTAAAGATTAAAGAAAACGAGTTAGAAATGACTTACAATCGATTTGGAAGAGTAGTTGTCTTTGAAAAATCGCCCAAAGGTGATTAGGTTTGTCACGACCCTAAAACCGACCCGGTCGTGATGGCGCCTATCGTGAAACTAGGCCAGCCGACACAACTCCCAAATTTAACCCTTTAATCAATAACAATCATTTTTAAGTCTTCAATTAATCAGATATCTCATAATGTAAGTCTAAATGAACAGTACGGAATAAATACACAAGCCAAACATCGGGGTGTCACAAGTCACGAGCATTTACTAAGGTCTGAATACAACTAAGAGTCTAAAAATATACTGAATACTGTCTAAGGAAGACAAGAGGGAGAAAAGCAGTGCTGCGAACGTCGGGCAGCTACCTTGCTAACTCCAATGACTCTGCCACTGAGCAATCAACACCCACTACCGGGTTCAGAAATACTTGAATCTGCACACAAGGTGCAGGGAGTAATGTGAGTACGCCAACTCAGTAAGTAATAAAAGTAAATGAAAGCTGAGCAGTAAGAAAACACGTAAGCCACGTCATAACACTACAGCAAATGCAGTACATTTCCAAAACAGTACAGAAATCATTTATTTCGTAAATCAAGCTCAGTTTCAGTAAAACCTTTTAAAACAACTTTCAATAGTTTCAAACGAGTGATAAAACAGTGAGTAAAAATGATAGAAACGTAAACAGCCCCTCGGGCAAAACATGTACCATAAACCACCCCTCGGGCATAATATCAACAGAACCAGCCCCTCGGGTTACCTCACAATCACTCGTAATCATCCCCTCGGGCATAACATGAATCAAGAACCGCCCCTTGGGCAACATAGATCAAGAACAGCCCTCGGGCTTCAATATGAAACAACAACAGCCCCTCGGTCTACAACAGATCACTCGCACTGGGTACCCGCGCTCACTGGGGGTGTACAGACTCCGGGAGGGGCCCCATACGGCCCAAGCGCAATAACAAGCCATCTCGTGGCATAATCAAACAGGCTCTCGGCCTCATATCAATCACAAGCCACCCTCGTGGCATAATAAACCAGGCCCTCGGCCTCTCATATATCACAAATTAGTACCACATGCTGCGCCGTGCAGCCCGATCCCATAACATCCTCACAACACAGGCCCTCGGCCTCACTCAGTCAAAACTCACTCAAGCCCCTCGGGCTGCCAGTAAAACAAGTACTCGGCTAAAATTATCATTTTTGAAATCAAGAGGACTGAATAAAACTGAGTTATGAAAACAGTAAGAACATAGCAAGACTGAGTGTAAATATCAAGCCAAAAATACTGAGAAAATCAGTAATAAAAGCCCCTAAGGGTCCAAACATTCGGCACAAGGCCCAGACACGGCATTTAGCCCAAAACACAATAATACTTTCCAAAATATAACAATATCAAATAGTTTCCAAGTAAATACGCGACTTAATAGTCGTATGGGACGGACTAGGTCACAATCCCCAACGGTGCACGACCCCACGCTCGTCACCTAGCGTGTGCGTCACCTCAAAATAGCACAACGATGAGAAATCCGGGGTTTCATACCCTCAGTACAACATTTACAATCATTACTTACCTCAATCCGGTCCAAACTCTAGCCCGCAATGCCTTTGCCTCTCGACTCGGCCTCCGGATGCTTCAAAACTAGCCAAAAACAGTACCATACCATCAAAATATGCTAAGGGAACAAGGCCCACTCGAAAATAACCAATTTACATCAAGAATCCCGAAATTGACCAAACCTGACCCCGGGCCCACGT